AATAAAACCTGAGTTAATCTTGTATAAATACTCTTTAGTATATACATCTTATTAAGTGAACAAGCTGATTTGATGTGTTAAAACCTCGCACAATAAAGAACTCACCTTGTAATATTCCTTCAAATTTACTATTAAATAATTGAATTAAGTTGATCTTAGTGATTCTCGAGAAGTTCTGAAAATTATTTAAGTAGTTTAAGTTAGTTTAGTTAAAGTATATTAGTTATCCTTAAGACCTTTGTTCACATATAGGTGTGACAATGTAATAGAACGAATAGTACAGAAAGCTTTTGTGCTATCACCAAAACATTGTAGAAAATTATTGAGAAAGGAGAAAGAACACCTAATACTTTTAATAACAAACTAAACTATAATAGCAATAATTGAAAACGAGATTATAATAATTATAATAATAATAGAGGACAAAGCTTCAAAAGTTATAATAATCCATCTAATTGCTATCATTGTGAACAGACCAGACATATAGCTTGGAATTGTTCTATAAAGCAAGGGAATCAAAAAAACTAAATAAATCTTACTATTTCTACTGCTCTGTGTCCTATCAATACAGTATTTCCTGTAACTAATATAACGACTAATCAAACTGCACAACAAGTTTCGCAAGGAAATGTAAATAGTAATGCGTTTATAACTCAAGAGGAAGAAATTCAGCAGCCTATCTCCACTGTTTATGAAAGAATATAACATTTAAACTAATATGCATACCTCAAGAGGGTGAGAATGCGGATAATATAAACTCCTCATTTAAAACTGAAGATAATGATAAAGTAATAGGAAAAAGTATTGAGTTAATAAGTAAACAAGATACTTCGTAACCTATTGTAAGAGATTATGATCAGCAGAAAAGAAAAAAGAAGTATCTGAAGACCCTAAACAAAAGAAAAAAAAGAAAGTACCTCCTGTTCAATAATCATTTATGATACAAAATACTTTGTCATATTCTATTATCTCAGATTTACTTGTAACAAGAGTCAATATTACTTTGGAACAATTAATGATTATGTCACACTATAGAAGTGAAACTCGAAAAGCTTTGATACCAAAGTATACAAGAATTGTAAAGATGGCTAATAATACAATAGTAGAAGAGAATACACCCATGACTTGTCAAGCTCAAGTAGCTAAATAGAAATTTGAAGTAATTCTTGATAGTGGGTCATCTATTAGTATCATTTTGAAGAATTTCATGGAATCTATAGTATGAAGAATTGAGAAAGTGTCTGGAAGAAAAATAACTGGTATATACGGAGAAAGATGATCTAGTTTAAGAATTGTAACATTAGTACTCATAAAGTTAGAAGAAATTGTAATAGCTGTTGACATGGAAGTTATTGATGCAACGGGTTACGTATTAATTCTTGAAACAGATTGGTTAAGAAAAGCTTATACTATAATAGACTATCAAGAGTATAAATTAATATTGAAGGATGACAAGTGAACAATGCAAATTTCTGATAGAAATACTAGAGCTACTGTGTTAGATAATAATAAAATTAATGATATTAGCAAAAAAGAATATGTAGAAAGTAGCGATGATTCTGATATGGAAGATGACGAAGAAGTGAATTTCATAGGGTTAACATATAAACTTTTGCATCAAGTATCTTATATCAAATATAAAATTACTTCTGAAGGAATACGCAATAACTTGATACTTGTTATATGGGAAATGTATGACCAGTTCTCTTATTGTTTTGATCCGGTTAAAAGAAAAAAAAGTGCTCAAGAAAGATATAAGACAACGGGACTTAACTTCTATTACTGGTGTGATGAATATCTTGAGACTAGTCAGGATATATGTAAAGTTTGTGAAGAATATCAACAAGATCATAAGATTATTTCCATTATACCTTGAAATGAAATACAAGATATCTGTTGTAATTTGATATAAGTAGACATAGAGAAACTCAAAGAGAATCAATATAAGTTACAAGTTCACGAAATTATTGAAGAATTTCTGAACCTTGTAGCTAAAGGCCTTTCAGAACTTGGAAAAACGATCATTTATCAGTATATAATAGATACTGGTGAAGCAAAACCAATCAAATTAAATTCCTATAGAACTTCATCCTAATATTTAGAATTTTTGAAGGAGGAAATAGCAAATATGTTAAAAAATGAATTAATTCAAAAGTCATTCAGCTCTTGGTCTATACCTATAGTCATGGTGAACACAAGTTAAAAAGCTTAACAAAACTATCGAAGAAATAGTCAAACTCTATCGACAAAAAATAAAAGCAATAATTAATCAAACACCTGAAACTGAGGACTCCATTTGAAAATTAGAAGATTTTAAAGAATTACGCAAAATTAAGGAGCAGTTAAACTTACTCTTCTGAATTTGAGACAATTGTTATAAAATCTTGAACAACTTAAATTTTTTGAAAGATACTTTCAGCTTACTAAATTAATCTCTTCAATAAATAATCTGTGGTTTTGAGTTACCAACCGCCAACTGAATCTCTTTCCACGCACGTTACCAAAAAGTTACAACAGTCCCATTCAAATACCTCTGTTAATTTTTCACAAACTGTCTACATACTATAATTACTTTCCACAGTGATGTTACCACAAAAACTCCGTCATTGTCTCCTGAGGATAAAAAAACTTAGTCTAATAATTTCTTAACTACTTCTATAATTAGTCCCTCTGTAAACTCTACTTTATCTGAAAAAACAAGAAAACTATCATTCCTAAATCACCAGTACGTACATCTCAAAATATTAAACAAAAGTAAAATTCAAGTATTCCTAGTCAAAATATAAGTGAAAGTTTCTCGCCTGCAGTTAGTACCCATCCACTACCATTTTCAACTACTATAAAGTTATTAGAAGAAGAAAGAAATTTTGAAACTACTACCACCAGCTCTTTTACCTCAGATACACTTGAACTACCTGAGTTAACTTTACTATACTCTTCTTCGTCATACTTTCCTTCTAGTCAATCAAGTATAGTTCCAATACAAGTAGACCCTGATACTTGGACAACAAGTTTAATACAACAAATAAAAGGAGGAGACTATTTTGAATCTCCTAAACCAAAAATAACTACTTCAGATAATGCGCATTCATCAAATAAATCATCTTCACACTCTTAAGACTGATTATATACAAGTAGACAACAAACGCTATCAACTAAATCTAGTAGTTCCAAAACTTCAGTTGAAACTTCTAAACAAAAACAAAAACAAAAAGAAAAATCTATTGAATACTCTTCTACTATTAGTTATTTTGACAATACTGATCATAACAGTAGTAATAGTAGTAGTAGTGATAGTAATGATAGTAATGACAACATGATATCAAATGCACAAATTTTAAATTATCTTCAATGCAATGTAGGAGGTACTACCATCTGAGTAGAACCTTTCTATGGTGATAGTTTATAAGACCCATTAAAATAGTTGGAAGACTTTGAAAAAGCTTTATGAATAAATGAATAAGATGAAGATCAAAAATTATTTTATTAAAGGTACATATAAGAGATGATGCCGAAGAATGGTATGATTCAGAAACAAAAGTATTTACTTGGAATAATTAGAAACAAGCTTTTATTGCATTCTTTTGTAATTTCGAATGGAAAAACAAATGGTTTCGCAAATTAGAAGAACTCCATCAATTGAAAGATGAAACCATTGATGCTTATTACGCTACATACTGATGACTGGTTCAAAAAATTGATAAAACTGAAGAAATATCCGTAGCAGATAAATTAAGGGACTTTGTAAGAGGGTTAAGACCTGAACTAGCTCCTTTGGTAATAATAAATGATGTAGCAGATGTGGCTGTCACAGTCACTCTAATTAGAAAATATGAAGCTGGTGAAGATATAGTTAAAAGAAGAGAACCTCGTAAACTATAAAAAGAACCTGATTCAGATTCAAATAGTTTCAAATTAGATTCAAATAATTCTAAATAGTAAAATTTAAAAAGTAATCTCAACTGTAATAATTTTTATAATCCTAAAGTAATTGGATTATTGATTTTCTTCATAATAAACTTATATCTTTTATATTAAAACTCTGTTCTTTTTATTAATTTATATTCTTCGAATATAAATTCTGATCCATAAATTTCTGTTACCATTTTATAAATTATTGATAAATATATTTAATTCTTTATCTTAATTTCTTAAATTGACCTTTAAAATTTAATCATTAATTAATAGTTAAATCCCGTGATCCTAAATCCTAGGTCCATTAATTAGTTATTAGTATTCAACTTTAATATTTTTTTTATTCTTCTTCTATTATTCTCTTCAATTCGTAAACTAAAGCAACTGTTTATGAGTTGCTAGTTATAAATTACCTTTTGGAAAATAAAATTAATTTCAAAGGTCGACTAGTAACAACGGATTGAAAATTTGATAGTAATACAGATTACAGATCACACGGATCGATCCATATCGCACCTCTACTTAGAGAACTTCAGAGTAAGAATGAGTCTGGAACTTTGTTTCAAGATAAAGGAAACTTGAAAGAAGACTTGGAAGGGACATTTGATGAAGAAAATGAAGATAATAAGATTAATGGAATTCTTGATTGTTATTTTTTCAATAAAGATGAAGTTTCCGATGTTAAGATTAATCCTAAATTAGTAAAAGAGCAAAAAGATGAATTGGATTCTTTGCTACAAAAGAATATGAAAAACTTTACTTTCACTTCTGATCAGTTAGACCACACTGACATTGTTCAGTATAAGATTTGCTTCAGAGATACATTTCTATCAAACAAAGACCCTACTGATATTCTCCAAAAGAAAAGAAGTTTTTAGAAGAAGAAGTCTTCAGAATATTGGAAGAAGATATTATTTCCTCTTCTACAAGTCTTTAGACCTCACCGATTGTCTTGGTGAAACAGAAAGATAAAATCTGAATTTGTATTGATTATAGAAAACTGAATGCTATAACCAAGAAAGACAATTATCTGTTACTCAGATTGATAAATTATTGAACATGCTAAAGAATTCTTCTTGGTATACTTCCCTGGACCTTGCCAGTGATTATTAGCAAGTGGAAATGAACTCAGGAGACAAGGAGAAGACAGCTTTCATTACCCCTTTTGATATATATTAGTTTAATATAATGCCCTTTGACCTTACTAATATTCTGGTCACTTTTCAGTAATTAATGGACTCCTTATTCTTCGGCTTAATTGGAAAAAGTATAGTTGTATATCTGAATAATTTAAATGTATATTCTAGAACTTTTGAAGATTATTTGAAGTATCTTCAGGAAGTATTTGATATCTACTAGTCGAAAATTGATAAAATATACATATATCAAGTATCTGATATGTGCATGGTGTGTCCCTAATATCGGGCATATATCGGGTACCCGATAGGTGTAAAAAATATTTTATATCTATATCGGGTACTCGATAAGTGTAAAAAAATATTTTCTACACTTATCGGGTACCCGATATATGTCCAATATTAGGGATACACCATGTACATATCAGGTATCCAATATGTGTATATTTTATTAATTTTCGACCAGTGATCCTCCATAAAGTTAGATTAAAGTTGAAACCTCAGAAATATTTCTTTATCCAAAAGAAGTTGAAATTCTTAAGATATATAGTGGGAGAAGATGGAATTTCCACAGATCCGAATAAGATAGAAATGGTTAAGAACTTTTTGATCCCCAAGAATTTAAGACAGTTTCAAGAATTCTTTGAATTAACCTCTTATTATTACCAATTTGTCTGGAGGTTCACTACTATTGCTGCTTCCCTAAATAAGTTGCTTAAGAAGAATATTACATATAAATAGACTGAAGAATAGCAGAAAGTTTTTAACTAATTGAAAATTCACCTTACATCTGCTCCGATCTTGGCCTATCCAAACTTTGAAAAAGAATTTCTTCTTTTCACAGATGCTTCCGATATAGTTCTAGGAGCTATCTTGTCACAAGAGAACCTGGAAGGACTGGAGAGAGTTATTGTCTATATAAGTAGATCATTGTCTCAGGTTGAAAAGAATTATGCAGTCACTGAGAAAGAGTGCCTAGCAGTTATTTGGATTATATCCTACTTTTACCAATACCTTCATAGAACTCATTTTACTCTTATGACTGACCACTCTGCTTTAAAGTCTCTATTTGCATATAAGATACTCCAGAATAGATTAGCCAAGTGAATTGCCATCTTTTAAGAATACTCCTTTACTACTGTTTATAAGCTCAGAAAAGCCTATTCCAATGTTGACACTTTATCCCAAATTAAATATTAAAACTTTTCCCCCCTTTTTTAAAAAAATATAATCAATAATTAATATTTGATAGAAACTTTCTAGAGATCATAAAAAGAAATCAATTATTACTATTATTTAGTTACCTACAAATTAAACAATCTTATCAAACACTTTTGAATTAATTAGTAAAAAATTAATATTTATTTAGCTAAATAAGTAAAACTACAAAGAAACTGAAATAAAACTTATCTACTTACCTTACAAACCTTTAAAGACCTTGAATAAAAATCAAATTTTGAAAGAATAAAAACCTTAGAATGGATCTTGACACCTATTATTTTTTCTTGCATTACTTAAGCAATTCTACTATTCCAGAAGGTTATATCAGTAACCAAATAAAAAGTTAAAAAATCAAATCTGAAATTATTTTGCAAGAGTAGGAATATTATACAAAAGAAACTTAAAGAATCCACAAAGATCTCAAAGAATAATTAAAATTAGTGAAAAGGAATTTATCTTGTTCTCTATATATTCTGATTCACTTTTTGAATACTTCAATGTTGTAACCACTCTTCAGAAAACTTCGTTCTGATATTTTTGGTTCCAAATAGGAAAAAACATAAAGAAATATGTCAAATTTTGTGATGCTTGTTAAAAAAGAGAAAAATCTAAGATCAAAGAACCTCTATATCCTATTAAAATTGGAAGTCCTTTTAACAAAGTAGAAATTGATATTATTGACCTCCTATTTATAACAGCCTGGAGAAACAAATATATAATTATAACAACTGAATACCTAACCAAATGGTCTGAAGCCAGAACTATTCCAGTTGTCGATGTTACCAATGTGGCTTTCTTTTTCTATTAGGATATAATTTGCTAACATGACTACCCAAGAGAACTCTTATCTAACCAAGAAAGTTATTTTTGCAACCAAGTTATAGATACTATGTGCAAAAAGATGAATGTTAAATACCGATTGTCTGATACTTATTACCTCCAGACTAATAAACTAACAGAAAGATTCAACTGGACCCCACTGGTCAAAAATTGATAAAATATACACATATCGAATACCCGATATGTATATGGTATGTCCCTAATATCGGGTGTATATTGGGTACCCGATAGGTATAAAAAATATTATATATATATATATATCAGGTACTCGATATTAGAGACGTACCATGCATATATCGGGTACCCGATATATATATGTTTTATCAATTTTTGACTAGTGCCCTTTATGATGTTCTGTCTAAATGCTATAGCCAATTCAATAAAGATTGGAATTTGTTCATTCTGGCTGCATTGTTTGTCTACTGGACTAGTCAGCAGAATACAACCTGATATGAACCATTCTTCTTTTTATATGGAAGAGAAGTATTATTATCCATAGAAACAGAAATAACCACTTACCCTTCGGAAACTGCAGATACTATAGATTATCAAGATTCCTTACTTAAAAAGATGGAACAAGTTATAGAAGACCTTCAAGAAGCTAAGAATCAAGCTCAAGATAGAATCGCCAAAAGTCAATCGAAACAACAGCTCCGGTATCAGGTCAAAACTACTATTGAGACCTATAACATTGGAGGTCTAGTTCTACTATATAGGTTTGCCTTTGAGAAAACTTGGAACTATAAATTAGAAAAAAAATAGAAAGGTCTCTACTATATCCATCAAGTCCTTAGAAATGGTACCTACAAATTGAGAAATAAAATAAAAAAGCGAAAGTATTAAAGAGGTCTGTGCATGGCAACAGACTGAAGTTATACTATTTCAGAATGGAAGTCTTTACTGTTGTCATTGATTATGTTACTCAAGAAGCCTCCTTCTTTTTCCATTCTTTAAGCTTCATATCAAGCCCTGAAGATTCTTAATTACCTCAGAACACTTTTCTTTTATTTATTCTTCTGTTCAAAGAACTTTACTTCTTTGTTTTCTTTTTTTTTTTCTCCTATAAATAAATTAAGAATATTAGTAAAAATCCTTTTAAAATTATATTGATTTAATTATTTTTCTATTTTTTTTTTATTTTATTTTTTTTATTATTATCTTTTTATTATTATTATTTTTCTTTTATATTATTATATTTTTATTTTCTTTTATCTTATCCTTTACTACACTGGTCAAAAATTGATAAAACATACACATATCGGATACCCGATATGTGTATGTTTTATCAATTTTCGACCAGTGCTACTTACCTAATTAGAATATAATATTCCTTTAGTTAGTGCAATTGACTTAGAAAATTTTTAAAAAAGAAAGAAAAATCATACTTATCTTGTTTTTTTTAAATCCTAAAAATATTTTTAAATAGTCTTGTTCCTATACTTGAAAAGAAGAATCTACACAACTTCTGAACCAGAATTAGTATAATATTATTCCTTCTTTGTTTATAATTTTCATTTTCTTAATTTTATAATTATCCTAGAAGAGGAAAACTGAAAGAATCTAGAGTTTAGAAAAAGTTTATTTAAATTAATTAAATTAATTAATTAGTATCTGTAGATTAGATATGGATCAACATGTAATAAAAATCCTGATAGTCTATTTAAATTAATTAAAAAAGAATTAAACTTTCATTGTGTAATTAAAATTCCAGTAGTCTAATTACGTCACATGAGAAAAAATGGTATAAATTTTCCTGCCACCTCCTTGATCAAGAAACACTCCACTTTGCCTCTCACTCTTTGAAAAATAGAGACTTGGATAATACTTGAAATATGAGGAAGGCTATGGAGGCCGAGAGCAGACAAATAATAAAGTTCAAAATACAAGGAATGCTACAGATGTCACAAGAGGAATTGTTAAAATTAGCAGATATATAAAGGCATAAGAACTAGTGCAAATTTGAAAATAACAACATGCGAAACATGAGTTACAAAAATATTTCTACCCCTGTATATGCTGTCGCCCTAGTAATTGAGTTTGTTATATAGCAACATGGCATAAGAGGAATTTTGACTATAACAGCTAGAGAAATTAGATATAAACTATGCCCTTCGCCCTGACAAAATCATGATGAGAGGATCCATAGTCATTTACCTCTGTTAATTTTAGACTTGAGGAGAAATAGTATGAGTATAACTCAATTACATCTCCTCCCAGATAAAAATTGGTTAGAACAACTTGTCTATATATATGAATCTATTAATACTTTTAGTAGTAATATCAGGAATGATGAGAAGCTTTCACTCTATTATTAGTTGGGTCTTCTCCTATATCTCTGAGGATTCAGTAATAATGCTGTCACTAGTAGTTCCTGGTTTCCTCAAGAACTACCTAGTAGAGTGACTTAACGGTTCTTTTAAGGAGTTTATAGTCCTTTCCCAAAGGTAAGACTGTTGTTTTATTATTTTAGAAGGTATCACTGATTCAGTTATTTTAGAAAGGGAATTAGACCTTTCATTCAATTTATTCCAATATCTTTTTAAGTTCATTATTATCCTTAGTATTAATATTTATCCATTAATCATCTCTAACTTTATTAACTTTAAATATTATTTCTCATTATTCAAGTTAATTATTATTTCAATTCCAGGATTTATAATAATAGTTTATAATTAATTTCATTAACTCAGGAATAATAACATTATACAATTATACAATCAAGTA